TGTTCTCCCCCTTTAGTGGGCTAGAGAGGGCCACCTACAAAGCACAGTGGGTGTGTCTACACATGGAGCTAGCCGGGAACAGCTCTTGTACTTCACATTCACCCCCCTTACCTTTAATCCAAATTAACTGTCCAGCATAGACAAGTCTTGGCCCTCTGATGTGAGAGGTGCAAGAGCAACACTAGGAATCGTCTCCGTTCAAGGGTGGCTCTGTTTCTGTAAGAGGGCTGGCAGGAGTCTGCATGGCTGAGCCGAGCTCCACGGTAAGAGGTGTTGTAGTGTTGTCCTGCAGTTACCGTGGCTTATGGCAGGCAGCAACATAGCTTCGTAATGAGCTAAAAGGGGAAGCCGATCCTGGGCTGTGCCCTGTACCTGGAATCTTAAAGGCAGGTGGACTCTGCAGCCTCGGTTTGGGAAGAGGTTGATGATTGGTGTCTAAGCTCTGCAGGGGAACGGGCTACGGACGTTCCCTTTGAAAGTGAAATGGCAGTTCACCCCCTCTTCGAGTGTACTTGGTGTGCGGCACTAGGACGCCTGGGTCCTATTCCCGGCTCTGCCACTGACATGCTGGGGACCTTGAGAACATTGCTTCCTTTTGTGTCTCCGTTTCTCTTCCTACTCCTCGTCTATTTAGTTTGTCTGCTCTTTGGGACAGGGACTGTTTTCCTCTGTGCAGCACAAAGGGGCCACGATTGAAGAGCTTGCTGGCTGGGTAGGGGAACCAAACAACTCAGGCCCATGTCCTCCTTGGAAAGCGACTTCTCTGTGCCCTGACCTCTGCCGTGTGGGCTCCTGGACCTTTACAAGGAAGGCAGCTCAACCTCCATTTCTTCTTCCCCAAGGCAACCTGCTGTGGGAGCACCCAGAGTTCCTAATCAGGAGTGAGCACTGCAGTTGTGCTCTGTGCTGTATAAACAGAGTCCCTGCGCCAGAGGCTGGGCTGAATTTGAAGGCAAGGTGCTTGTAGCAAACAGGATGAGGGTTGGCTGTAGCTGTGAGTTAAGGTCTGAAACCCTGTTTCTGGGAGGGTGTGCTCCCCCCTCTGGTAGCTGTTGGAAGAGCACTGGAAATAATTCTGTCACTTCCTGGTGACGTGCTAGAGGTCTATAAAATCATGACTGGTTTGGAGAAAGTAAATACGGAAGTGTTATTTACTCCTTCTCCTAACACAAGAACTAGGGGTCACCCAATGGAATTAATGGGCAGCAGGTTTAAAACAAACACAAGGAAGTATTTCTTCACACAACGCACAGTCAACCTTTACCAGAGGATGTTGTGAAGGCCAAGACTATCACAGGGTTCAAAAAAGAACTAGATAAGTTCACGGAGGATAGGTCCATCAGTGGCTATCTGCCAGGTATGATGTCCCTAGCCTCTGTTTACCAGAAGCTGGGAATGAGGGACAGGGGATGGATCACTGGATGATTCCCTGTTCTGTTCATTCCCTCTGAAGCACCTGGCATTGGCCACTGTCAGGAGACAGGATACTGGGCTGGATGGACCTTTGGTCTGACCCAGTCTGGCCGTTCTTCTGTTCCCCAGTACTGGGAGAGAGAGGCAGCTCTCATCATTTTTTGTACACCCGCAAGTGTGGTGCTCCTGAGAGGCAGTGTCACTCTGGGGGTGGGTGAATGTGGAGGGGCTTTGAATCAGTCTCTAGCCATCACTGCTGCATTCTCCTGATTGGCCCAACTCTCCTGCATTAGACTGTGCTGTCTTCCTGCCCCCAGCTCTGAATCCCCATAATGCTCACCAAGCGTAGTGTGACTTCATGACTGCTTTCTGCACCAGCACCTCTTCTCTGGCGTGTAGCTCACTGGGCTCCCACAGAGCTGATGCTGCACTGCTGAGTTTCAAAGCTGGGACCTAGGAAGGAAGGCTGAAAGAATTGGGTTTGTTTAGTTTGGAAAAGGGAAGACTGAGGGGACGTGAGAGCAGTTTTCAGGTATCTAAAAGGGTGTCATAAGGAGGAGGGAGAAAACTTGTTCACCTTAGCCTCTAAGGATAGAGCAAGAAGCAATGGGCTTAAACTGCAGCAAGGAAGGTCTAGGTTGGACA